GCTGGGGAAAGTCCCAGCACAAATGCAGATTCACAACGCCTCAATCTGAGCCACAGCGTTCAACCTCAGAATGCGGCCAGAATTTTGAAAGTCATGGGTTCCCACTACAAAGCCCCACCATCAAAACAAACACCACCAATTGATGGTCCTTAATGTCCCCCCTTATTTGTTTTCTTAACGAATTACACAGCTTGGGGGTGGGTGGGTTTAAGACTGGTTTTAGACATAAAACATGAGCCATTGGGGTCGGAAATTGTTTCTGAAAAATACAACAAAATACTCTTCAGAAGAAGTAACTAGAAAATCTTACTCCTTACTTATACTGCACAGTGCAAGGCTGACAGTGGTGGGGTTTTTTTTGTGGGGGGGGGAAGGAGTCGGTGCAAGGCTTGCAGAAACAGAAAGCCGTGTTCCCACTCATTATATTGCTTTGGAAATAGAATTTTATTACATCTGAAATTTTGCTCCTTTCTTTAGTAAGTAATTCATGATAGCTTTATTACTTGGAGACTCATGACTTCCAGCCTCTGATTAGAACCTGGGAAGATCCCTAAAACTGATATCAGAGTAAAATCTTCTCTGGTTTGTCCCCCCCCCCCGGCTCCTTCCCCAACATAGTCAAAGATAGGCTGCTTCAGCACATGGAGGTTCCATACAGCAGCTTTGGCTCACTGGTCTTCGATGACTCTCAAGTTTTTAAGGCCGCCGGAGTTCATGGCCATCCTGGTGGCAGCCAAAACCATATGTTTAATGATCCATGGTGTGAAGAAATGTTAATCAGGGATCCGTGCAGAAAAAGGGATTCTGTGTCTGGTTGCAAAAATATTTTAGAAAACATTGTAAAAACGAATATAGAACAAATGTTCAGAAACTCACTCAATTACTGCTTTTTGCTCTGTAGCTGAGGAGGGTCTTACTCGGTGTTGTCAGGGCTTGGGTGCCTATATCCTGTCACAGTCTCAACCATTCTTGTCACTATACAATTGTTTGGTAATTAAGGAAAGATGTCCAGAGATGTTATGTGCCATCAAGTCACTTCCGATATGTGGGAACTATATGAGTTTATGATCTCGAAAATGTCTTCTCGTCAACAGCTCTGCTCAGATCTTGCAAATCAATATCATTTCAGGCTGTTTTCTCTTCTGGCTGCCTCCCCTTCCTCATTATCACAGTTGCCAAAAAAACAGCCCTGCTTTCTGTTGGAGGGTGTGTGAAGAAAAGGAGTCAGTTTCTGGGTTTTTTTCCTTCTGTGGTGTCACTCTGTCAGTGGGAGGAAGCAGAGACCACTGGTCCCCAACCTTGGGTCTCCAGGTGTTCTTGGACTACAACTCCCAGAAGCCTTTTCACCACCACCTCTGCTGGCGAGGATTTCTGGCAGTTGAAGTCCAAGAACATATGGAGGCCCAAGGTTGGGAAACACTGTGTGTAGACCATCTTCATTGCTGCCACTGGTCTTGTCAACATTCAACATTGTACAGCAATATTAGGCCATTTCCTGGCATTTGGAGTGGTGGATACAGAGGGGCACAATATCCCACATTCATAAACCGGGTTGATTTTTTTTTTAAGAGTAGAATCTACATTCTGACAATGCCTACCGAATGCACTCGCCTAAACAGCACAGCCTTGGAAATTCTTCCTCGATTCTCTGCCACTACATATTTATATTTACCACTCATTCATTCATTCATTTTAAAATGATTGTTATTTATTTAAAGCATCCATTCCTCACCTTTCTGCCTAGCTAGGGCTGCCAAGGTGATTTATTCAAGTCTGGCCGATAGCAAGGTGGAACGTGACCCTCCATATTCTTCTGCTGAGCCGGCACACCTTGAAGGAGGACTACGATTCCCAGCGTCCTGCAATCAGCGGGGCTGTGGAGTCCCAGGAGCTGTGATCCAAAACATGAACGTTTTAAAAAGCTCTGCGATGACTCGTTGTCCTTAAAAGCCAGATCTATCTGTGCTTTTGTGGAAGGAGCTGAGAACATTCATTTTGTTTATGGGCAGAGAAAGATCCATATCAGCTGTAAATGGTTAGTTTTGGTTCACCTTGCTGTGGTCCCCCAGGCCCTGGACAGGCCACAGCTGGCAGCAGCTGCTATTGAGAAAGCCACATGAGCTGGATAAATTAAGGATAGTTTACCAAAGCCATTAAAGTCTTCTTGCAAGGGGCAGTCATTAAGCCAATTACCCAGTGATGACTTTCTAAGTATCCCATTACAGGGGGTGGGTGGGAATCCTTTCCCACCAGCATGCCAGTGGATAGGATAAACCTCAAGGCCTGTTTGGGCCGGCTATCTAGACACCCACTCGATGCAAGAAGTAAGAAATGCAGAACAGCCTTTAACAGCGGTCCTGGAAGGAGAAGACAGTCATGATTTTTTTTAAATGGAGAAGCTGTCTCCAAAGCGGAATCAGCCCCCACCCGCTACGAACGGTTTAAAAATCGGCTGTGTTTAGATGAAGAAGCCCCCCCCAGGATTAGCCTCTTCACATGAAAGTCTGGACAGCAGCCACTTCTTTGCCTGAAAGGAGGAGAACTGGGGAAGAAGTGATCATCAGAGGAAGAGGAGGGGAGCGCCGGAGTTCCAATCCGCATGTGAATCTAGAAAAGATAAGAAAACAGAAAGTTGATCTATCAGCTTCTATAGGTAGCCCCTCCCTGCGCATTGATGCTACTTGCTCAACTCCGTTGGTGCTGATTTGACACTTATAAGCCCCTGCCCTGCTGGAATCCACACAAATTAACACTGTCACCCATTCAGTCACAGAAATCTCATGTGTGTCACCCAGTGAAAATTTTTCCAGCGCAAAATTTTTTTCCCACCTTCTGCCAGCAGCGCACCTCTGCTTTCTAGTCAGACAAACAGGATCTGCTCCGTGCAAAGGAACAAAGGGTCGTTACTTGCTTACAGATCTCCCAGTGGCTGCTGTACAGAAATGACCAAGACAGACGAGAGAATAAGCCACAGAAATTGGCTACATGAGTCTCTAAAGATGTACATATATCAATCACCCAACTTCTTTTAATATCTTATGTGTGGCTGCCCTTGATCCAACCTCTTTCCCACAAACGAGTCATCTTTTCGTCTGACATGCAAGCCTCGAAAATTTATCAATTTAGTAGGGCCTCTTAAGCAATTAACAGCGCTTACCATTCGGCTGACATGCATGCCTCGAAAACTTATCACTTTAGTAGGGCCTCTTAAGCAATTAACAGCTCGATCTCAGTCCAGTTCCTGGGTTAATGACCAACTTTTTCTGTTATTTCTATTTTCCTCCAACCACTGCTGGAAGGGGTGGCCGTTCCTCGGCCCAAATCCTGTTGCTTTGGTGTAGCAAACGGCACACATTGGAGGCTCGCTGGATCCATGGGGATTTGTTGCGTCCCCTCCCCTGTGAGTTCCACTGGTTTAAATGGGCCTTCTCTACTTTCGTGCAGCAACAAATCAAATGACCTTACGGAAGAGTTGGCTCCTTAAATCTCCATTGAATTACAGTAATGGGCCTACTCTAGCGCAATTTACTGTGCTAAGCAACAGGATTTGGGCCCCTTGTGTCTGAGGAAGTGGGTTTTGAGACACAAAAAGCTCTCGCTGCATTAAGTCCCCACGCTGTCCACGTGCCACGATGATTTCTCCTTGCATTTCCATTTCTCCTTGAATTTTGCCCCCCAGGCCACGAAGGACGTTGTCTCGGCAAACGAACAGGCACCAAAAGGAGCAGAGACCAAGAGCTTCTTTCCACTGCATTTGCTCTGAGCACTGCGCGGGAGAAAAAGACCACGGCTGGCCGGCTCTCCACCGCCAGGGCCCTCGCCAGCCGCCGGAATGGACTACTGTGACATCACTGTGACATCATCTCCCCCCGGGACCCCTCCCCTGGCCCAGCTGTTTAACGGTTGTTTCCGAGCATCCCTATTCTTGCATCTCGAGGCTCCCGGCGGGACGTAGGGAGCCAGTACTTCCTCCCCAGGTCTCGGTAGGTTATCCCTTCATGTACTGAGCAGGGGCCGAAGGGGCGGCCCCATGAGACCCCCCCCCCAATTCTTCCAAAAACCACCGCTGGTACTAATTCTGACCTTTACTGATCCTTTGGTGGTGGGGTACTGGAGACCAGCTGTGGGGCTAATCCTGAAGGACCTTACACGGGCGGCTTGGTTCCTGCGGCCACACATCCTTTAGTCAGTTACGTCTAGGAATCCAAATCTTTGCTGGATTCGTTCCCATGAGCAAGAATGAAACACTTCAGAATTTTTATGGGAAATATTAGAGTTTCATTCATTCATGCATTCATTTATACTTTCTTTCTTGTCTATCTATCTATCTATCTATCTATCTATCTATCTATCTATCTATCTATCTATCTATCTATCTATCTATCTATCTATCTATCTATCCATCCATCCATTCATTTATTTATTTATTTATTTATTTATTTATTTATTTATTTATTTATTTATTTATTTATTTATTTATTTATTTATTTGTGAACATGTGGCAGAAATGTGTGTGGTTTTTTTGTGTGTGCATGTTTTGCTTTGGGCTTTCCCCAGAAAACTTTTGCCTTATATAGTGCACAAACTGCAGAGCATTTAACATAGAGTGTACAAGATTTTTCAGCAAGGCCCCTGCCCCCACTGTTTTCTGCAAATACTGATAATCAGGAAAACAGGCTGGTCTTTTCAAATCTTCAATCCATGGGCCATTCCCCCCCCCGCACACACACACACGTGGTGTCTTGTGTGTCAAGGTATGCCAGGGCAGCAGCTTTCCTGTTGAGACACCCTTTTCCCATCCCCCCACCTTGGGGATGAGAAAATTCAACACACCCACATGTGTGTGTGATGTCCTTAGTCATGACCCTTGCAATGCGGTGAAGGAGCCAAAGATATCAGCCAGGGTAGCCGCTCCCTGCTTCGTTGTTATTAGATTTTAGGGAAGGTGTACGAAAATAAAAAACAAAAAGGCCCAAACTACCAAGAGAATCTAAAAGTCGCAGGTAAAACCTTAAAAGAGACCATCAACAGTTGGTGTCCCGGAAAGCAATTTCAGGCATCAGAAGGGGCAGCAAGAGGAAACCGAGAAGGGGTGGCGGAGAGGGAGCCTGGCGGGCGGAGGAGTTGGAGGACCAAAGAGGATCACAAAAGGGATGTCATTCATTCCTGAAATTAGCGTGTGGATTTACAGTAGGACCTTTTTGATATTTATTTATTTATTAGATTTATATACCACCCATCTAGAATGGGGGGAGAAACAGGTTCCACAATCTAATGTGGATACCCGAAACCGCGGATATAGGAATCTTTGTGGCCTTTCTCCTGCCTCATTTTCTGTATATATCTACACACACACACACACACACACACACACACACACACACAGGCAGAACAAAAGCCACAAGAGGGCACCTTGCATGTTGTATATAAGGCTATGGAAAACCATGGCAAATTGAAACAGCGGATACCGATCCTGCAGATACGGGGGTCCTGCTGTATAATAATAGTCATCTTAGAACAGCAGAGCTGGAAGGGATGCTATGGATCATGGAGTCCAGCCGCCCAAACCACTGAGCCATGCAACATTTTGCTTGGGGTCTGCTCCGGCATCCTTAAATCTCGGCGTGATCCGGGGATGGGACCTTTCCATTTCCCAATGCTCCTGTGCTCTACCTCCACAGGAGATGGCCGCCCACGTCCCCGTGGCCCCGGGCCTTCCTCAGATGCTCAAGCCTGGCCTGAAGTACTTCAGCGGCCTCCAGGAGACCCTCTTCGGCAACCTCACCGCCTGCAAAGTGTTGGTCCACTCCTTGCGCACCTGCTACGGCCCGCTGGGCCACAACAAGCTGGTGGTCAATCACTATGGGAAGATGTTCCACACCGCCCATGCGGCCACCATCTTGCGTGAACTGGAGCTGGAGAACCCCGTCGCCTGCCTGCTGCGCACGGCCGCCGAAACGCAAGAGGAGGAGACGGGAGACGGCACCAATTTCGTGATCCTCCTGGCCGGGGCGCTGCTGGAGAACGCCGAGAAGCTGCTGAGATCGGGGCTCCCTGTGGTCCAGCTCCGTGCGGGCTACGAGATGGCTTGCAAGGAGGCTCTGCGGCTTCTGCCTGGCCTGGCCTGCCACGTGCTGAAAAACCCACGTGACTTGGACGAGGTGGCATGGGCCCTGCGAAGCACCGTGGGCAGCAAGGTCTTCGGTTACCAGGAGTTCTTGTCCAAACTGGTGGCTAAAGGGTGTATCATGGTGCTGCCCGCGGACGGCAGCCCATTCGACCCCAGTCTCCTCCGGATTTGCAAAGTCCCCGGCGGTGGCATCGCGGACTCCTGCATCCTGGAAGGGGTGGTCCTCTGCACAGAAGCCGAAGGGGTCATCCGGAGGGTGGAAAGAGCCCGCATCGCAGCCTACTGTTGCCCGTTTGGCCCATCGGGAATGGAAACCACCAACACGGCCGTGTTCAACAGCGCCTCGGAGCTGAAGAGCTATGAGAAAGGCAAAGAAAGCCTGGTGGAGCAGCACATTCTGGACATCGCCAAGGCCGGCATCAACACGGTGGTGGTGGGAGGCAAGGTGGACGATCAGGCCCTCTTCTACGCCAACAGGTACAGGATGATGGTGGTCCGTCTGTCTTCCCGCCAGGAGCTGCAGTGCTTATGCCGAGCCGTCGGAGCCACTCTCCTGCTCCAGGTGGTGGCTCCGTCGACCAAAGAGATCGGGCACTGCCTCCGGGTCTACACGACCGAGATCGGCAGCACCAACGTGGTCGTCTTCAGCCAAGACGGCACCACGAGCCCGGTGGCCACCATCGTGCTGCGAGGGGCCACCCAGCCGCTGCTGGACTGCCTGGAGGAAGCCATTCACGACGGCGTCAACGTCTACAAGGCTCTGGGCGGCGACGCACGGCTCCTGCCCGGAGCCGGAGCCACTGAGATGGCCTTGTCGGTGCGACTCAATACTCTGGGGAGGTACTACCCGGGCTCGGAGCAGTACGGCGTCCTGGAGTTCTCCCAGGCGTTGAAAACCCTCCCGGCCATCTTGGCGGAAAACGCAGGCCTTCCCGTCAACGAGGTGATGGCGAAGGTCGAGGTGCAACACCAGCTGGGCCGGCAGAACACGGGGATCCAGACGGCAGCGGAAGAAGCCGGCACCATCGACGCGGTCAAGGAAGGTCTGCTGGACCCCTTTGTGACCAAGTACCGAGGCATCGTTTTGGCCACCCAAATGGCAGTCACCCTGCTGGGGGTCAGCGAAGTCATGCTGGCCAAGAAGAGCGGGGGACCTAAATTCAACAAGGAAAATCCTAACTGGGATCAAGAACCAGATATGTTGGATTAAGACTGGGGGAATCTTCCCCAAACGATGGCCGGGACCGTCGTATAAAATAAAGTATGAAGGTTACCATGGAAAAGTCTCCCTTTCTTGCTTGCTTGTTCCAGACCTCCCATTCCAGATTGCTGGGGTGTAGTTGCTACTCTCCCGAGGGCCAGGAGTGTTCTAAGTTAATACTAGTATTTTTTTTAAATTTTTGGTTAGATTCCATGAGCCGTGCAGCCAAAGCGCAGGGATTCACAGAGCAGAATAGTTTCCAGATCCCCACAATAAACCACCCCTTTTTTTTCATTAACTGGCACTCAAGAACGCCTTCCGAGACATCAGCAGAAGAAAGAATTAAAAGGATTAATTACTTACAGATCCACAGCAAACTAACAAACGGAGGGATGGCTTCCAACAACAGACTTCAACCGACTTTAGAGAGGGGGAAAACACTGAGCAGAGAGGCGTGCCTCTCTCTGAATTCGGAGGCAAGGAAGGAACGATGGGTTAGGGCTGGAGAGATGGACAGTCACCCCACACTAGAAAGGTCCCGCTCAGCCACACCTCTAGACAGCATTGCAAGCTTGTAAAAACTCTGTTAGAAACAAAGATTCTCAGCGAAGGAAAAATTCTACTTAAGAGTTTAATTAATCAGTACTTTATGCAAATGAACTAGAATTACATGCATTCATGGAAACAGGTCTAAAACATATAATATGATGCACTGCAGCCCATGTTTATGATCAAACGGAACTGGGGCTATTATTATTTAGCATCCTGTTCTTGTGTTTTACTTTTCCTCTCAAGAGCTAAGGGTGTCATCTGAAGAAGTTATTCCACCTTTACTAAGTTGTGCCATCATCTCCTCATATTACCCGTTTCCTTACTTCTGGTTCCTCCCAAATACATGGAAAGGCACAGCTAAAATCTCTGACCAGGCTGGGCACTCACTGTTCACCCTTCCAGATGGCCTACAGCTCCCACCAGCCCCTGCCAACACAGCCAATGGTGCAGGAAACTGGGATTTGTAGTCCAACATTATTTAGAGGGCCAGGCTTTGCATCTTCCACGCTTGTGGCAACCAGAAATAGTATCATTATTATTTATTCATGTATGTGTTCTATCCATAGACCGTCTTTTCGCCAATAAGGAGACCCAAGGCGGCTCACGGTACAGAATTAAAAACATAATAAGTTAAACATTTTTTTTAAAAAATTAAGATATATGCTAATTAAAATACAGTTGAATAATTAAAATCAAGTGAAATGTTAAAAACGATCTTAATTCAAAACTGGCATTCAGGGACTCTGTCCTGATTGCGAAAAGCCGTCTGAAGGCGGAAGGACGGAAGGGGGGGGGAGCCAGCCTGATCTCCTGAGGGCTAGGAAGGGAACTGGGGAGCCACCACCGAAAAGGCCCCATCTCGTGTCCCCATTGGCCGCACCTGCGCTGGCGATGGGGCTGA